TGTCTGTAAAGCCGACTGTGCCCGGAGATCGGTCAGGTTACCTCCACAGAAGCGAGAGGTACTTCCGACTGGATTAAAGACAATCCATCTGTGAGCACGAAATGTTACTTATCGAGTGACCGAGTTTGTCACAGGTACTTTACGCTCTCACGGCAACAGCATTAGTTGAGACGGATGGTTGTTGGAAGAGGGAAAGGGATGATCGAACCATGACATTTCATTTTTTCATTTCCATTTTTACTTCCTTTTATTGAATTTAGAAATGTACAATTTTCAGGAAGGGGGAAGCGGCCAATCAAAGGGCTGCCATAATGAGGTAGACAGGCGGTGGTGGCTCAATTATTCCTATTTGATCTGCTTCCTCCAGGAATAAAATCGAACCCCTGTATTCACTTTATGAACCTGACAACCCATAACTTTCTAATGCTTTACCACATCCAATTAGGAGTGTTGGAACGTCTTCTGGAGTTGGCTGGGACTGCGGGAACCACATCTCTGGTGAACTGGCGTTCTCGGCGCTCCCGTGAACAGGATGCTACACAGTCGGACACAAGCGGGGCCGGAAATTCGGGACTAGACCAAACACGGCTAAGCACAACGCCCAATACCCGTATGACGGTGGCTGTCCTCCTAGCCAAATTATGGGACGACATGACCTCGGACAAGACACGGGATGCATTCACTAACGGTTGTAGTGACTTCATCTTGTATGCTGATCTATTTGTTTTTGCGTCGAGATTCTAAGATTAATTTTTGCATTGCTGAAGTACAGTTTGCTGATGGTTTGTTTCGATACGCTATGTGCTTTGGTACTCTTTGAACGCAAGGTGCATGAAAAGTTAGCAAGTAATTCCACTGAGTTGAGGGAGCCCTACTCACTGCCTTCCCGTGGCAGAGGTGTTTTCTCACCAAATTGAGAGGACGAATGACGCGTCTCATGATAGTAGGATATCCGAATAACATTTTTTATATACTTGATATACTTTGGAGGCATATACCTTCTGTGAAAACCGTAAAAACGAGCAATCAACTTTATCAACCTTCCCGAATTGTGGTATTTGTTGCCTTTCTTTGTTTTATCTTTTTTATACTTCTTCTTTGTGTGGATAACTCGCGAAAATCAAGGGTTTTTCACAGGTAAATCATCCGTTTGGTCGATATTTGTCAAAATGCACACTTACCATTTTCCGAAAAGATAGTTTACTGGTCTAATAATATGCAAATCTTTCATGCCTTTGCGCACAATTTTCCTTGTAGGCTGCAAGTTGAATAACTGACGTACATTGCAACAACCAATCACAATTTTTGATTCTGTTTGGTCAAACATGAAAAGGTGCTCCCACTTAGGGGTAGTTCAATCAGAAATCTTAGTCTTGCTACGCGGCTAGTTCAGTCGGTTGCTCGTGATGATAGCCCCTGGGATAATCAATCGACGCCATTTGTGACGCAGTCAAAGTATTCATTTTCCTCTCCCCCCTCTTTCAGTCTGTGGCATTTCGGCCAGTGCGCCCACATTGTACGGAAACCGGGCGGTTGTGTCGGAAATATGAAAGATATTTGTACTTCTTTTGTCATTCAGTTGCGCCATTTTCGCGTGGTTAATTATATCAGCAAGGAGTATCAGTTTCAGTTTTTGTTTCGTTTTTCAGATTGCTCTACCGATAACCTTTCACTTTCCTCGTCGTTTTTGGGTTTTGTCTTTCGGAAACATCGATTTCAGTACACCGAGAATATTACCATGTAGGTGTCCGTGTAGCCTTCAATGGCCATGAAAGGTGCAATCATTTAGACGAAAAAATTACAGTCAATATCCAAACCAATCGGTTGCCGTTCGTTGCAGTACTTTGGAAGAATGTATGCATTGCCTATCTGGACAGATTTGTGCTACATTTTAAATGTTAAAGTCTATTACAAGCAGGTTATTTCCTCAAGTGGTTCAAATATATGATTAGGACGAGGAAGAGTGAACCGCGTCCTTTGTTACACCTTGGATGGTTATGTGTGATGTGACTGTTTCTTATACGCTCAAGGAAGTGACGAAATGAATATAAGTAAACGTCTTTTTACTTCCTTTTTTATTTATTTAATATATATATATATATATATATATGTGTGTGTGTGTGTGTGTGTGTGTGTACAGTCAGCATTCTGNGCCGAGGTCATACAAAGGTTGCCTGGGAAGATGGGCGGCGGTAGAACGGTTCGAACCCGGGACTCCCAGGTCACAAGTTGGTGACCTAACCACTTGGCCACCGTCGCCCATGTATAATTTATCACTATGTTTCCGCATGAAAAAAGAAAGTCTAAGAAAACATCAAACAATATATAACCTGCCGCAAAATTATTGCATCCTCCTCAATCTTTGGATTATCTCGGCTTGCACATGCAGGATCATAGCCACTTGGAGAACCTCGATGGCAACCGAATGAAAAGCTGAAATACAAAATTTCATCAAATCATCGTAGGTTTCAACGAAAATATGTCGAATAAATAGAATTCTCGCCGCGACAAAAATATTTCACTCCACCCTCCCCATGGAATTCACACCCAGCTCGGGTGCGATAGACATTCTGAGTTTGTACTTCGGCATGGCAAGTAGTAACCGTCGTGACTCAGTGATTAACAGATTGGCGTAAGCTACGGTCGTGCTCACGTTACTACCAATGACTTTGAAGGGAACAAATACATCCAAGTAGGTCACTGCAAGTGATTTCCAACCATGACGCGATAGAAGTCTTATTGATAACGAGCAATCCAGAATCGATGCCTTTCATGAGATCAATGTCAGCATACAAAATATAGATAGACGGTTTGATAGGTCCGGATCACACTGACGCAATATCTGAATGGGAAACAGCTAAACCCAGCCCTAAACCGATTGGACATCGGGAAGTGCTCTCGAGAAAATGTAGGGGCAGATTGATGCATGTGACCTCACACTCTGTGAGTCATGCATTGAAGATAAAAACGTACGCTTGGAAGAAATACAACTTTACAAACAGAAAGACTTATTACGAACTGAATCTCTTGTAACTTGGACTTTCGTCTACTTTAGGAATGAAAAGAAGTTCGTTTTGGTGAATCCGACGAATGGGACTACTACTGGTATAATCTGTGAAGAGAAGAGCGGTACTTCAGTGAGTGGATCAGAGATTGAAACTCCGTGATAACACCTTATTAAGACTTATTACGCAACGGTCCAACCGAACTGGCGCTACCCCGTAGAGTGCAAGGTTCTGATGCATATATTCGTACCTCGGATCGGCGCCTTAGGACATCAAATGATCACCCTGAAACCATTTTGTAGCTTGTTTATACCGCAGTTCACTACTCGTATGTAACAACATACGGTTAATATTGCGGTGTGGTGTTGCCTGCTTGCAGTCTACACATGAACCCAATGTAAACCATTTGGGTTATTCTTACTTGAAAGGCGCACCAACCCTGCACAGTTTATACCAGAAAATATGAATTAGAAGCATTGTTGACTGGGTAGTGGAGTAATATCGACACTTACACGCTTCGAAATCCTGTCCAGAGTAATGAAGCGGTTTTAATGAGTTAAGTTCATGTAAAGTGCAATACGTTTATCGCGGTGAAACTTCTGTTTTTTATGCATATTTTCTCTAAAATTAAAGGTAATCTAATGAAATTTCTTGTTTCGGTTTTTCATTCCTTCGCCATATAGGTTCTCAAAAATGGTTATGGTCGTGCATTTGGGAGCAGAGATAACCCAAAAATGTATGGAGGGTGTAATAATTTCGTCGCGGAGTGTATGACTGAGAGAAGTTCCACTCGGGGCACACTGTGACGGCAAAGCGGTGGTACCCACATTCGCGTCGAAGCCCGTTTGCGACAATAGTGACAAATATTGTTCATATGCAAATAATACTTCTTCTGTACATTTTCCACCCGCAAGCGGTTTCTTGTGTTTTCAGGCTGCAATTCTGTTCTTTTGTTCCACAGGGATTTGTTTGCTGACCACTTCTTGGAAACCAAAGTCGAGGCGGCTTCGGTTATCGGTACTCTGTTTCTCGGACCGCATGAAGTTGGTTCCTCGGTTTTGTCCCGTCCGGGTATCGTAGAGGGCCTATTCCTACTCACTCAGTGCCCAAACATGCTTTATCAGGTAGGGTTCGACCGTCCTCGTCCAGAGTAGCTTTGTTTTCAAAATTTCAATACATTTGGATGCATTTTTTACATGATAGAAGAATGGCGTTTCTGTAGTTGTTATTCTGTTGTATCACGTCCCACTTACCAATCTTTACAACTGTCATTTTACTAACTTGAATTTATATATCTAATACTCCTGTATATACAGTGCTCCATCTGCACAGTCATGGTCTATTTTTCTCTGCTCGTTTCTGTTTACTTCTATAATAGACCGTTGCATTGGATACGATTCTTCTGGTCACTCACAAGAAGGAACAGTGTCTGAGCCTGGTCTCACAAGCGGTTCCGATTCTGCGTAACTTATATAAGAGTGAGAACGATGGAACCAAGATCCGTGCACTTGTGGTAAGTAAGTCTCTTTCCCTAAGGCAATCTGTCAAAATGAAATCCGTGTTGGAGGCAACAAATCAGTTTACCTTCTTGTATCCAAGTTTGAAGTGTATTGATTTTTATCAGATTTCAACTTTTATGCACACCATAAGTGTACTTCTTTGATGCAATTGGATTGTACCTCGTGCACTCCATCCCGTTTATCAGTGATATTTCCTAGTTTGAATTATACATCACCTCCTTTTGCAAACTCTCCGCTACTTCTGCACGAAGTGGTGGTACTTCATCTGTGCTGCGATGACTGATTTTTTTGCTAGACTGCACCTTTTCCCATCAAGCTTTGGTTACAATCCGTACTTGTTTAGCCTCCGTCTATTAACCTTTAACCGCTGCTTGTAGTTCTTTAGTCATAATCGAACATAAACGTTTTGTTTTGCATTTACCAACTCTGCTATGGACCAAAAAGTGATACAATCATTAAAGAAGTGGATGCTTACCGTTCCATAGTTATATTTAAAAATAAAACGCCGTCTAGGTAAGTCCATATATTAATGGACCGAGTATAATGAACACAGTTCACAAAAATTTGCCTCCATTACTGTCATCAGTTTATTCAAGCTGTAACACCTGACGCAATTACGACGTTCAGCTGTGCAGCATGCGGTCATCACGTCTACTTCCTTCCCTAAGCTTTGCTACCTGAACCTTTGAAAAAATAAAAATTCTCAACAATCTGGTCTCAGAGAATTCTAATACACTGTGATCCGACTGAAATCGTGGAGGCTAAAGCATTACAAATTTTGGTTGAAGTATCGAGACTAAAGAATTACGGTTTGGGGCGGAAGCTTGGTGGAAAACGGTGTCTTTCTGACGCGGTGCTTTTCACATTGTCTCGAAGATATTTCGTTTATGCTTCATATCGCATATACTAGGTCAAAAAACGGATCAATTTTGCATTACGCATTTGCCTACTTCCAATTGTGGAGTAGTTATTCTTAATTTTCGAAATTCATTTTGCTCGTCGTTCGATCAGGCACCGCTCACGATCGATCGATACCACTCTTTCTGGTGTGCATTTGGATTAGTTAGTTACTTTCATCTTGACCCTCCGTAAATTTTCAGAAAAGCACTTGGGCCCTTTTTGGTTACACGATCACGCCAGAAGGTCTCCGCAGCTGTCCGCTCCGCAACTACGTGAATATGCAGCCATTGGTTTATCGTTCAGATAGGGTAGACAAGTCACTCGATAAGCTCTCTCCATTCATTGCTGGTAAACAGCGCGTTTTGCTCGAATGCAAGGTTGATATATAAATAGGTAATTGCGTTTTCACTGCTCACTTCCACAAACTTGCCAATAACTTGGTGCACCCATTTGGAAAACGATCCTTCCCTTCTGACTAGTTCTTCTCAACCTCGATTAATCCCAGATGCCTCCTGTTCACGCCACTCATCGAATATCACTCAGCGT